CTCTCGAGGGAGTGTTAGGTGTATTGCCTTAGGCGTCTTCAAAATTAGTCCAAACTCTCGAGGGAGTGCTGGGTTTATTGCCTTAGGCGTCTTCAAAATTAGTCCAAACTCTCGAGGGAGTGCTGGGTGTATTGCCTTAGGCGTCTCCAAAATTAGTCCAAACTCTCGAGTGAGTGCTGGGTGTATTGCCTTAGGCGTCTCCAAAATTAGTCCAAACACTCGAGGGAGTGCTGGGTGTATTGCCTTAGGCGTCTCCAAAATTAGTCCAAACTCTCGGGGGAGTGTTAGGTGTATTGCCTTAGGCGTCTTCAAAATTAGTCCAAACTCTCGAGGAAGTGTTGTGTGTATTGCCTTAGGCGTCTCCAAAATTAATCCAAACTCTCGGGGCAGTGTTAGGTGTATTGCCTTAGGCGTCTCCAAAATTAGTCCAAACTCTCGCGGGAGTGTTAGGTGTATTGCCTTAGGCGTCTACAAAATTAGTCCAAACTCTCGAGGGAGTGCTGTGTGTATTGCCTTAGGCGTCTCCAAAATTAATCCAAACTCTCGGGGCAGTGTTAGGTGTATTGCCTTAGGCGTCTCCAAAATTAGTCCAAACTCTCGAGGAAGTGTTATGTGTATTGCCTTAGCCGTCTCCAAAATTAGCCCAAACTCTCGAGGAAGTGTTACGTGTATTGCCTTAGGCGTCTTCAAAATTAGTACAAACTCTCGGGGGAGTGTTAGGTGTATTGCCTTAGGCGTCTACAAAATTAGTCCAAACTCTCGAGGGAGTGCTGAGTGTATTGCCTTAGGCGTCTTCAAAATTAGTCCAAACTCTCGAGGGAGTGCTGTGTGTATTGCCTTAGGCGTCTCCAAAATTATTCCAAACTCTCGAGGGAGTGCTGAGTGTATTGCCTTAGGCGTCTCCAAAAGGTGGAAGTGCCGAGGGGAACTTGGGAATTTTTGTACGGTCTTGCCGTTAAACCTACTTTAAATTGACCTTGTGTCAAATCGTTTTTCGAGGTGGAGACCCTGGTAAATACTACTAATCCTGACTTTTTGGTTATGATTGGTATTCATTGAATATTAACTCAAGCTTCAAGGTACTTTCAACCCACTCTCGAGGCAGTAGCCGTCACTCGGGAGAGGGCTGAGTTCATTGCTGAGTGCCTGAGGCGTTCTTAAAAGAGGATGTGCCAAGTGAACTTGGGAATTTTGTCCGGTGAGCCCTATAGACGCGTTTTTAACGTCGACCTTGTGTTATAACCGGCTGCGACGTGGGCGAACTGGTAGATACCAATAACCATGAACTTGAAGACGAAACTACTAGTGGAATAGTAATGAATACTTCTAACTAATTATAGTTTAAAACAGTTACATCTGAACGAACATTTTAAATAATTAACAAAAGGAATTACAAGGGGAATATGAACACGGTTACGCAGAGGACAGTTGAAGAAATCAAATCCTGAAAAATTCTATACAAAGAATTCTTTCATAAAATCACCCTCACATACAATCATTCTTTTTATAGCTCTTTCTCTCTCTTGTCTAAAATGGTCAGTTTATACGATCTTTTTGTCAGGAATCATGATGTTTTTAGAGGAGCTGTCCAAGTTAATATTCCTATAGCGGGTAAAACACAAAGTTTAAATACTTTATTACACCAATAACAGTGCTGAATTAAAAATACCAATATACAGAGTGTCCATAAAGTTCGTGTGCACTTTAAAAAATTTATAACTTTATTTGTATTTGAGATAGAAATAATTTGTAAAATGGATTAGAAAGAAGTAAATATATATTTTTTAAGGTTTTATTGAATTTTATTTAAGTTCCCACATATCCTCCATCATTAGCAATACAAAGGGCAATACGAATTTTGCAGTTCACGGAAAACATTTGCCAACTGATTTACAGTAATGCCTGAAATCACATTAGTTATTTTAGCTATACTTAAAACTAGGTGCATTAAACTTTATAACATTTTTTACAGATTATTTCTATCGCAAATACAAATAAAGTTATAAATTTTTGGCTGTTAGAAATATTAACATATACCAAAAACAACATAATACTTCGTCAAATAACTCTAAACATATCATCCTACTACACCGCAAATACATTCTAACTACAAACAAGATGAAAAAAATCCCCACTGATCATAGTAAAAAATTATTAATTATTTACTATACTAAATATAATACAACTAGTTAATCATCCGCAATAACTCTTCTCCGCTAACTAACGATTTCCAAAAGAGCAACATTGTATATCATTTTAAATGTCCTATGGAAGTGTGTATCTCTGATAAAAACGTAAACATATATGTTGGTTTCACAACGACGACACTATCTTACAGGTCTACTTTACACATGCCGGATTCATGTTTTATTATACAACAATTAAAATAAAATTCCTGTCCACAGTTACGCATTAGAGAAATATTAATTGACATCACAACTATGCTCCACCATTAAAATAAAAACAAAAACCTCAAATTCGCGAATAATAAAATGAAACCAAGGCTAAATTGAAAAAATATTTTTTAGTATAGCATCAATGTTTTAAAATGTATATATAAGTAATGTTTTGGGATGCTCAAATTATAAAAAATCTTCTTTTTTTTAGAATTTTTTCTAAAGAATTGCAGATTGGGTATTTTCAAAATATTATCAATAAACAATTTAAACAAAATTACCTCCCTTACATATTCTTAATGTAAATTGACTAAAACGGAGCGCGTTCCATGCACATTTAAGAAAAAATTCACAACTATCAATTCTATTAATTTCTGTCTTAGCAATTCACACCTGAAGATGATCTTGGATGAGATTGAAAGTAATTGGGGATAAAAAAAGAAATATCACAACATACGTCGTAAAAATAAATTGACTAGATTATACGACCCAAAATGTGTGAATGAAGATATGCTGCCTCTCTCTCTCTCTCTCTCTCTCTTTCTTTCTCTCTCTCTCTCTTTCTTTCTCTCTCTCTCTCTCTCTATATATATATATATATATATATATATATATATATATATATCGGCAGTATGAACTAAATAGATACTATATTAAATTTAATACAACCAAATTAATCATCCATAATAACTCTTCTCCACTAACTAATGTCTTCCAAAACAGCAACATTCTATATCATTTTAAATGTCCTTTGGGAGATTGTATCTTTGATAATAACGTAAATATATATGTTGGTTTCACAACGACGACACTATCTTACAGGTCTACTTTACACATGCCGGATTCATGTTTTATTGCACAACATTTAAAGTAATATGTCCTCAGTTACGCTTTAGAGAAATATTGAGAATACAAGTATGCTCCACTGTGGGATCTAGTTGCCAATCTAGTAACAAGTTTAAATTCATGTGGACGGGTATCAGGTACAACAGCTCGTCAGACAAGTTGCCATTAAAGTATTTGTAGAAAAGACAGAGGGAAGCTACGTTTCGTCGGTCAGAATGCGACTGAAGTCGAGATGCCATGTCAGGATCGGTTGTATTGCACACCTCTGGATCTTGTCAAGAATTTAGAGATGTACATTAGTAGAAGCAGACTAGATATGGCAACAGTATTCAATGCACGGACGAATTGTAGATTTATAAATGTGCAACGTGAATTCTGACGTGAAAGGTTTTCTGGGGTGATGTAGTAAATCAACTTTCTCTGTAGTAGACGAAGCAATTGTGTCAATAGATTCGCTCTACTTCGTGTCAGAGTAAAACGAAGATGAGAATAACAATTCGAATAATGTAGATAGTGTAAATAATTAAAATAGACAGAACCTGTAGAAGGCCGGGGAATATAACGGCCGTAACGTCCCGAACCTGCAAACGAAGATGAGGACAACACTCTGAATAATGTAAATCGTTTAAATAATTATAGCACATTTGTTTTAGTTTTTTGAGTCGTCAGATGTATGTATGTGACTATATATTTTAATTGTGAGTAAAAGTGCCTAGTGCCCGCTTTTCTAAAACTCTATGTGTAGGATACGCAGTATAAAATCCGTTTTTATGTAAATAAAAATATCTGGAAACTTTTACATATGTGTAATATGCGGACATAGTATCAAGTTGTTATCTTTCGATGGATCTCAGCCGATGAAAGGAAGTTTCGTAAAACTGGCTAATTATCGATTGCGTAAACGTTTGCAAATGGCATTCTCATCAGCCGGTAAGCAAAACTTGTGTCTATCGTCTGTAACTCAGCCGACAATGTTGTTTATCTGATAGGGTGAGCGATTGATAAAGACACGTTAAGCAAAGTCTAATCATACTTGTTCCATTGAGCTAACAAAATGTGTTTGATTTCGTCTTGGGAAACCGGAACTATTGCTGGGAAGTCATTTTTTAGCGCGGAATAAACGCTGAGAGATAATAGGAAAAAAATCAACAGAAATTGGCAGACGGTAAGGAGTAAAAACAAAAACAAACAAACATTGGTGTAGTCACTGAAAAGTACACATAGAAAAATGGCAATGAAAATAAGAGTTAAAAAATAAGGACAAGAAAAAGGAGCAAAGATAAGGAAGAAATGGAAGAATAATACAAAATCTTGCAAAAATGCATTAAAAACAATATCAAGAAAATTCTAAAACAATAATTGTTTGAAAATAATCGTCCGAAAATAATTTTTCGAAAATAATTATTCGAAAATAATTATTCGAAAATAATTATTCGAAAATAATCGTCCAAAAATAAACGTTCGAAAATGATCGTTCGAAAATAATGGTTTTAAAATAATCGTTCGAAAATAATTGTTCAAAAATGATCGTTCGAAAGTAATCGTTTGAAAATAATCGTTCGAATATAATTGTTTGAAAACAATTATTCGAAAAAAATTATTCGAATTTTAAATTGTTTGAATGAAAATTAATCGAAAGGACAATTATACTAAAATATAATTATTCGAAATACCCATGTTTGAAATACATATGTGGTCTTGCTTTGAGAGAGTCAATGCTAATTGCTTTACATTATGTGTCTATCACAGTCTATTTAG